AATAATAATAATAATAATAATAATAATAATAATAATAATAATAATAATAATAATAATAATAATAATAATAATAATAATAATAATAATAATAATAATAATAATAATAATAATAATAATAATAATAATAATAATAATAATAATAATAATAATAATAATAATAATAATAATAATAATAATAATATTCACTCCATTCACTGATTATTTAAAAAGGGAGTCGCGGAAAAAAAAGAAGTGGCTAAATCTACCTTTGAATTCTGATAGCGATATGGTTCAGATATGGTGACAGCAGCAGTACTCGAACTTGACGCAAAACTGTTGTGGGGATGACTACTAGTGTGTATATTTTGTTCATCAATGCCACAATCAAAAGAATGTGATGCATAAGCTTTGTAAATGTTTCTATTAACAAGTGGTGAAGATGACAAATAGTAGCAGTCTGAAATTTTTTGTGGCATCGATATGTAATCCTGAAATGTCAGTCATCATATATATTCACATACCAAAATGTTATGCAATATAATTTCATGCTTCAACTTTTAAACTAAAAGCACAAGCAACTTGCCTTTCTTTTTGCTTTTTGGGAAGCAACACAATCAGTTCAAAAAATGGAAATTTTCTTTAATCAATAACTAACTTCAGAGCAAAGAAGTTGATGACTTTCGTTAGATGTAGAATTGTACATGTCGGTAAAGAAATGATCGCCAACAAGCGTTTCAATTTTCACACTCACATCAGAATGATCATCTAGAAAAGTGAAGTAACGCCGTAAATGACAGCACAAATATTAATATTAGTGGCTTACCACAAAAAGAAAGATATTTTTGAGGTGTATAAAAGATATTGTTACCACTAAACTGAGCAGCACTTCTGTATGAATTTCGACGACATTGCCAACAACTACAGCAGCCCATAATGAACAAAGCTGAGAGCAGCAGAAAAGCAGCTGGAACAAAATATTGCGGCGGTACAATTCCTGTAATCATCGAGAATATTAACATGTACATCCATTTCTCTTTGATGACAGTTTTTTATTAGTTCCAATTAGGATGTATTATATACCAAACTTTCTATTTTTATGGTTCCCGAAAAACTGAGAAAATGTGACGGGGACGAATATCATGGAGGAGTGTGTAGAAATCAAATTAAATATGTAATTCTTTCGTCATGAAAATTATTACATACGGATCCCACTACTTCCTATCCAAACAACAAGTTCGGACTACTTCACGTCTCCTACTGCTATATGAATCTAACTCACTCATAACCATTGTACTACACATCAAAGACTAAAAGTTAAATCACAAAAAAGGTCGACTTCTGTTATTCTCTCAAATAATATTCTCGATAACTACTAAAACAGCATCCTGTAAATAATGAATCACTTCCTCACACTCGAAAATTCCACACAACAAATTTTGTCCCTTTTAGCAATTTCTTCATCCCCAATACCTTTTTGATCTTAATCAGCGATCCTCAACCTAAAACCACACTCCCGCTTTATCTCTTGCACCCCATCTCCTATAAAATCCCTCCAAATTTCAACGTGCTAAACACACAAGTCCTCCGAGAATTTTCATGTTTTGGCTCAAAAACTAATAATATGTCGTCTTATTATAAATTGTACTTTGTCCTCCTAGCTTTCTTAATCTGCCATAAATCCGAAATGCTTTCTTTTAAGTTACTGAATTTACTGCAAATCATATTATATTAAAAAGTGGAGAGATTACCAATAAGTGCGTCTACTATGCTCTTCGGTTTCAATTGAACTGTTTGGAAATCCCTGCCCAACTCATTATACGCAGAGCAATTGTACGTACCAAAATCCGAATCCTTAACATTTTGAATAGCCAATCGACTTTCCACACCATACTGCCGCGGAACTTGATGAATCTGTATTTAGTTACCTTGGAAATGGTCTCTCATCAAAACTCTATGTTCAGAAATAATTCAGCTTTAAAGAATTCCGAAACTTTCTAGCATATTGGAAAGCACCGCAAAAATATATTGAATTTCTCAACATATGATGTTATTTCACCTGAAATCGATCACCTAAACGCCCATATTCAAACGTTATCCCGTTTAAGGACCACAAAACATCTTGTGGTTGCGGGCGACCTCGTATCTGGAAATAGCTTTCAAATATTTCGTTTCGTTATCATTAGTTAATTCGGATTATAAACAATTACTTTGCTTTTTGAAATCGAAAAGGAAATAAGAAAAAATAAGAAATGATAGATAATGGAAAACAGTAAATCAGAAGACAAGAAAAACTAATATTACTGGAAATGATGGCTGCAGGAAAAGCATGCATATTTGAAATGAAAACTAGAAAACCAATTATTTTTGTCTCAAAATCATTTGAGACTTTCTTCGACCTGCTGAAAGTTCGAGTACTTCTGTTCAAGAAACCATATCATATTTTTACCTCCACTCTCCCTCGTTTATTAAAAAATTGAAAATATTTCCTAGTTTGCTAAAAGTAAAATTGTTTAATTTATTTAATGCTTGATTTAAAAATGACTTTTGTAAACTATCAACAATGAAATTGTAGACTGTCATAGAAAAGCTAATCTTTGCAGTAAAGATCTACCATTAAATAAGGATTTGATAAAACCAGGAATCCAGAAAAAAGCTTCAATTATTTACAAATGTCAATTAATGATTAGTACGGGTCAAATTATTCGGAAGGATAGACATGACTGAAATGATGAAACGGTCTAAAAAATGGTCACTTTTAAAATACTCATTAACAAACCTCACAGATAATCTCAAGATTTTCTCCAACAGCGGCAACAATTTCATCGCTCAAGCTTACGGAAGGTGGTCCCTTGATGTGTAAATAATTTACTAAGCGTGCAGGCGGAAAACCCTGTACCGTTGCTATGCACTCATATTCACCACGTTGCCAACTTTGAACTGATTCAATTGTTAAACTGGAATTGCACATGTAGCCTATATTAGAAGTTTTTACATGAAGTTTAAAAAATCCTGACTGCTGTGGTATTACATTCCCATATGCTAAGAAACTCTGAGCGAGGATCACAATGACAACTTTTTCCTCTTTTTATCACCTTGGATAAATTTGCAAATAATAGTGCTGATCAGATATAGACATCAAATTTCGGATATAACTTTAAACATTTCAAGAAAGGTTGCAAAAAAAGAGAAAACGAAAGGAAAAATTATGAACTTACTTGTTTCCACGGGCTATAATTTGACTATCAGCCACTTTGGTCCAATAGATTGTTGGAGCTGGATTCCCAATGGCTTCACAAATAAATGATGCCATTTCACCTGGGTTTACTGCTTGATGCTGCTCTCGTGACATTATATAAGCCCCATCTACAATTGAACTATTAAAACCTGATCTATCATAACTTCAACAATTAAAGTCATAATTTCATATTAAATTACATTAGTTGTGTCCAGTTTCTAATGTTGTAAAAATTCTAATAAGTTCTAGTAGATTAAGTAATAAAAATTACATGTAATATTGAGAATAATAGAATCCGAAGAATCGCCAATCACATTCGTTGCAACACATGTGTACTCAGACTGGTGATGATCAATTCTTAGTTCGGAAATTGATAACGTCTGTAATGCTTCCATTTAGTACAAGCATCATCCTCTGAACAGAAAAATTTTTCTAAGCTTATATTCTTGAACAATATTCTTCTCTCAAATCTGGCATATTACTTTCCTAACAAGTTAACACACAATTTATCAATTGGACTGCTGAAAGAAAAAATTTCTGTCCCTATAAAAATGCCCAATTACACTTAAAAAAAGTGCTAGGACAAGTATTTTAAATCAATTTTATTCGATTTTTCAGTAACAGAGAGAATTTAAAGAGCAAAAATATGCTAAGGATGAAACTGAGCACTCATAAAAAGGGAGTTCGTAAAATTAGAGCTTAAATCTAAAGGGAGAAAAAATTAAAGTTTAAACAAGATTTATTAATAAATTAAGTGCAGCAGAAATGATGTACAAACACTAGTTGTTGCAAGGGTGATTTCTTTTCCATTTCGGTACCATGCTATTTTGACGTTTTCGAATGGTTTAGCTTTGACGTTGCAGAGGAGCTGGGCTGAACCATGCTCATAAAGTTTGGAGTTGTTGTCCAGCTTCACTTCCACTCTTGGTGGATAGTTTAAATCAAGCCGAACGGCTTGTAACCGTGGCGTTGTATAGGTTTCATGGCTCACCAAACATACCAAATATTTGTCATCGTCCTCCACTCGGGGTGCAAAACTATGGAATACATTTTAAAAATTTTCGAATTGCTTCCTTTAATCATAATAACAGGAGCTGAATCCAAAAAAATCAGACTGACAATTAATGTCAGCTATTACTTTTTGGCAAAAATGTTACCGCTTTTAAGCTCTCAATAAATCCTTTATCTTTTTTTGTGTAATTATCAATTATTTGGACCGTAGATATTTCTTTACGTTATATTGCTGACAACATTGTAGGTTCGGTCGTCATTTGAGCTAACATATTCAATTACGCGCGCATTTTGTATCACTTGACCGCTACCAGCAAGATCTGGGAAACACCAATTTATTTCGTGAAAAATGCAACAAATTATTCAAAAGCTCTTGAGATTTCACTAAAAGGAAGAGTGATTCAGAAGCGAATTTCAAATTTGTTTGAAAGAAAATTTAATTCAAGTTTGATTTAAACTGAAGTCTTTCGAAATCATAAGCAATATATACTTCTAAGCTACTAAATTATTCATGAATATGATGGATGCTGTGAATTTCCAAACATTAAAGTGAACTGCATGAAACATACTAGAGACAGTACTGAACGTATCCTTGCTATCGCCCAGCCAAATCGAAACACTTGAAGCATTTGGATCATCCGATATGACCCAACCTATTTTTGCCTGTGGTTTACCATGTGTGCTGGTGCAAGATCGTTGAATGTATTCTCCAGCCACTGTTCTCAGATTGGATATAGGTACCAATAATCTTGGATCTTCTGGTTTAACTATAACTGATTGCAGTGAAGCATCGAGGTAAACAGTTTCGTAATCGGAAGTGAATTTAAAAGTACTTCAAGCAGGAGATCACTTACCTAAAACAGTAAGTTTGGCGAGATTGGACACACTGGTTGGGTTTTCATTGGCTGCTTCAACCTGACACGCATATTCATCGTCATCATCTATTTGTACATTAATTATGCGCAAGTTATACTCTCCTTTACTAATCATACCTTCCATGCTATACCTTTTAAATAGGGATAAATCACGATCGTTTCCCAAACCAAAACCATTTTTCATCCATTGCACTGCTCCTTGCTGCAAAAAAATTTAGCTGAATTAGAAATAGCATTGTTGAGATAGATTATGGTGCTTCCGAAAACTTTTCCGAATCAAAATTTTCAGTGGAATTTGCTAATCAATGTTGCTTAAACGTCTGCTTAAATGAACACACCTGTGCCTCGATACGACATTTCAGAAGAGCGGTGCTACCTATCAAAACCCGAATGTCCGTAGGACCTTCAATGATCCTCTGCTGAGAATGTATATAAGTTGAAATGGTTATTATTATGTAAACAGGTGACCACTTCATTCCTGAAAACACATCAGTCATTCTCGACTACACACCCGGGATTGCACATCAAAAGTTGAAATCGTCATTTTTATACAAAACATTGCAAAGTCTAACATCAAAATTCATAAATCCACTCATGCTGAGAATGGTTTTACATGTATATCAAATACTCTTATTATGCTATCTCAATCACTATATTAGCTTGAAATTTAATAAATTATACTAGGCTACATTTGCAGACACTTCATACTCCTTCAGAATATTAAAACACTTAGACGAAGATATAAAAATTAAGCCTCCTTCCAGCTTCATCATCAAAAAAAAGAAACGGATATCAAAATTAATTTTCCTACCTTCGAAAATTCTCGAACACATAACTAAATATATATTTATATACTCACTATACACAAACCTTTTGTTCCATCCTCACTATTCAACATGTAAATAAATGTTCTATCAGGAAGTATTAGTAGCAAAAATTGTTGAAAAAAATAAAAATTGATTTTTAAAATACACGATTGGTCTCCCAAGAAGAAATCGAAGACACATCACGGATCTCTGAACAAACATTGCTTTCTTCTCATAATGCCAACTTAGGAATTTAAAATGCGGGAATGCAGAGGTACATAATTTAAGCAGTGCAAATCCGGTGTTATCAATGAACCGTTTGTAAAGGACTAAAACTAATACGCTTCAATTTCAGCAAAGCTGCGTGATAACGGTAAAGAATATGACTTGGTTTACTGAAATCTATTTAACTAATTTTTTCGACAGCAGTAATGAACCAAATCAAGAAACAAAGAGCATTTCGGATGAAGAATAAGTAAACTGACAGAAGAATTCATAGTTTATGAAAAAATATTGTGTTATGACACAATAGAAAGAAGAGTTCAGGTTACAGAACAATTAGCAGCATTAATCAACTTATTTTGATCATGTTTTTTATATTACAGAGAAGTGAAATAAGTTAAATTTGCACTCGAATTTAAAATTTCCCACCTTCCACAGCTGAAAATTTCACTGCAGAAAATGGTCAACATATGTGAAAAGCCAAAACCGCAGTAATGATCCTGAAGAATATATTGTATGAGGAAGATGTATTCGTAAATTGGGAAGAAATTCATTTGGTAAGAAATATGATTCTAACGATGGCAGAAGAGAGTTATACATAATCATATGAGAGACGTTGATGACCATGATGGTCATTGACTCAATGGGAAAAAACATAGAACAGAAATGAAGGCACGCTTCTGAACCGGAATTTCGATTCACTCTTTAAAAGAAAAGAAAAAAGTATCTTGTTACGGTACTCACAAGCAGTTGCGTTACATGCGATTCGTTTATTCGGCCTTTCGCTTCATACATTAACTTCTGAAAATGGCTTCTTAAATTTGTCAGTTAGAACAACTGAAGCAAATCGATATGCTCTTTCACTTCATCAAACAATATATGTATATACATACATTAGTATATATTATGTTATTTTTATGCTAATCAAGAATCTTACGAACAAAATCAAATTTTTAACCATCAATGGAACTATTAGAAAGAGGATATTTTCACTCATTCCCTCAAAATTATTTTCAGTACAGGATGAAGTTAGAAAAGCAATCTTCATGCTTTAATACTGCTTTAAAGCAGTATCGCAAAGTGAAAGCAAAACACATGCGAAATAACACATAATCACAGTTATGTCAATTTATCACAGGAGAAACTTTCAATTATTCGATGCGGAGTTTACCAGTCAGAACCATTAAATTCTCACGTCCAATTTGAAAAACAAAACAGAAAAAGAAAAGTATCTAGTCATTTCTCCAGATTACCCTGATAAAAACAAGAACTTGAAAAAAATCAAAATCTAAATTCTTTTTAAAGTTTTTTGAAATAAATTACTATAGCGGAATAAATAAATTACGTGCGGAATGAACTAGTCTTTTAAATAAATTACTATAGCTATGAAATTTAGAACTATTATTAAGGGACATTTAAAGGAGCAATTTGAACTCTGAAAAGAACAGCGAATACAAAAATGCGCTATTGATCAAAAGAGGTGAAAATTTGTTAAGTCAGATGGGAGGGATCGAAGAGTGCGGGATTTTGTTGGATGCAGATGCCGATTTTAGAGTGCTGTATTGGTATGGTAATAGAGCAGTGACAGGACAGCTTTTGTTGCTTTTCTACACCAGCAAAGCATCGAAAAGATTGGTGCTATTAATAATATTTAATCGGTAACAAAAGGTCTAATTAAGTTACTATGAGTTGATTATGGAATACTTACATAACGAGTCCGATACCAGAAAGTGAACGATTTTAATGGAAAGATATTGTAACCACAAATAAGTAAGTATAAAACCAGTTATTCCAAATTTGGTAAGGCAGACTCAGAAGAAAGAAGACTTTTTCCACATGCAACATACACCTGGATTTAAGACGAATTCATCACATGTTCACATGTTCCACTGAGCTTCAAAGATAACTGGTGCAACATTGAGAAGGTTCGAATACAAACCGCTGATGAGGAAGATTAGAGATGACTCCTAGGTTTTTTAAGCCGTTATGTAGCCAATGTTTTCGCCTCCCAGGAACAGCAAGATGATTTGATTTGTGAGAAAACCGTTACAAAAATATCACAAAAAGATTGTAATCCTGAAATAGAATTCTGATTCCCGAAACGAATGCAAAAAGTAGCTTCCTTATTCATCATTTATGTATTTTTATTTATATAGCTCATTATATACGATAAAGACGGATAACACATTGGTATGCATCACATCGGTTGCTACCACTGAAATCATAAGTTCGGACATCTTTCGGGAATAAAGTAATCTAACAGTTATCGTTTATAAAGCAGATTAACATGGTAAGTGCGTCATTTTGTCATACAATTACAGTTGATCGTGCACTAATTTGCTATCCTTTTTGCAAGGTGGCAAATGCTTAGAGCAACTATCAAGGTTTGGTTTGTCGATAACGGGAAAATTTGAGTTGGCAAGTCTACCTTTCCAACACTTATTTACCCTGGTGAAGCTTTGTAAAGATTCCAAGCCAAATCAAATTATATACAACAGTCGCTAAGAATATCAACATTTTCGCTCAAATAGTGTTGGGATTTCTAACCTGTTAAAATCAGATTAAATATCAATTATAAGTTGCAAGCTTATTGTTCCTAAATTTCATTTCAGTTCTGAAGATCTTTTAGTCATCATAGCAATGTTTTTTCAGCTGAATTTGAGTGCAGCTTGATTTTTTTTACCTCGACGCCGTTTCCGTACGCGAAGCTAATAGATGAGAAGGTAATGAATGACATCAAAACGATTGATCAAACCAATACCTCATAATATTTAGGAGGATTTAGTTACAGGTTGATATATAGCAAGTATTATCTATCACTGAGCAGTATTGCTTTGTTCATTCAGTAACAAATATCCAGGTTTATATAGGATTTGTGTTATCGAAACGTCCCGACAGCTGACATAGAATCAGAAGGAGCAATCAGCACTTTCTGCTGGAATAAGTAAATATACTATTTTCATACTTCCCTAACAATTCGATGCATCTATTTTCCTTCTTCTGCTGGCCATACAACGTTAATATTGCCTCAAAGCAACATCAAATTTTAATTGTAGAAGTTTTCAAATTTCGAAAATAAAAAATTAAAAGGAAAACATATGTTATCACGATATTTGTGAATTCAAAGGAAACAAATAACAAACACCTCATAATTACTTATTGAGCTTTGATCGTCTATTAGTTCTTTTCGCCAGGGAACTGTAGCGCACATTTTCCGCCCCAATCTCTTCATCCGCAATAAGTTTAAACCACTTCCAGCTCAATAAATATTAGATCAGAAGAATAGTGGTTATGGTTCATACCCGGAGATTTTCTAAATAGAAATGTTGGGCCAAAAATTCATATTTTTTTCATGCCTCGCTGAAGACTGGAATTGATCATTGCGCCTGATAAGGTTGTTCTGCACTTTTCAGTAGAAATCAGGAAGGTATTTTCATGTTTCGCTCGCTGTAACAACATGATATTTTTATGTCAGACAAAGCAAATTAAAATTATGCAACCGGAATGGAAGACTAAAATGATGTTTCGAAAAATAAGTTACAGATTAATTGTAGTCAATCAGAAATTTATAAACAAAAACTCGCTTGCTCAAAAAACTGCGAAGTGGACTATCAAAAACTGAAAATAGCTAAAATGTCAGACAGTTTACAAATTCTCATATTATAAATAGACGGATCACGTTTCCACCGAATTTAATAAAAGACCAGAACCGAAGATATCCACTTGAGACATCAATAAATCCTGAAATGTTAAAAATAAAACAGGATACAAACAACTGTTTGTGCGTGTGTGCTTGCCTACGTATCCAAATACTTTAAATTTGTTGAATCCAGAAACGGTGACTGTTTCTGGAATACCCTAAATTTGAAAGATGAGGGATATTGCATTAGATTCCATTTCATTCTACGGTTAATTTAGAAAGATGTGGAACACTGCACTCTTCTCTTCAATAGGAAGAGAAAGTCAAACCAAATGCTCGAAATTTGGTCCAAACGAGTAAATGGTTAAAAAGGAAGTTGCAGAAGTCATTTATTAGAACGACGAAAAGAACAAAATAAATAAAAACAGTTCCATGTAAAATCTTTGAACAAACAACATTTGTATGAGTGATGTTGTGCCGACTTGCTATGCTATTTCCCATTTATCATCAAACTTTCCTATACATAGCGGGAATGACAGATCATTCATGTGTACAATGAACGCCATCTTTATTACATGACCTATCATTAAATTGCTTATGCTTTTTCTTGCTTATTACTACCCAAAGTAGATTTCAGGTGTCACAAATTCTTAGACACTAATACTCCCATGGGTTAAAAAAACTTCAAATGGTTAGTATAAAAAGCTGAGCGCCCTCCAAATGGTTCAATTCGGGAAAATGAATGAACGATTTCAGGAAATTAAAATTATAACACATAAATAATTGCATCAGTATGAAGAAGGAAGTAAAAACATGCTTTTGTTAACGAGGAAGATAATTTAATGTGTCTTTTAAATATTCCACGATCTAACTCTCATTTCTCTCCGCATTTTTAATCTCAATTTTACCAACAGTAAATTTACTGTAAAAGCCGATAAGATTCTCCACGCACAAATGACTTCATATCTTAAATTGTTACTTCTGATCTCCACATCATCATATCATCCTAATCATAATTCCACAAAATATTGATCAACTATCGATATAAATTGTCAAATGATTTCATTTTTTAAACGTCCCATTTCAAGGAAAAAGGTCTAACGTAAACTGCTGCATTTACAAACATTCCAAAAGCTAAAGTTTAGAAGCCACAAAATTTTCTGATGAATATAAAAAAAATCGTCAAAATTCACTTTTAGGCATATAATTTTTTTGTCTCAAATCAAAAGAGTTATTGTAGGTGAATATATGAAACCTTATAAGAGCTTTAGAAGAATAAAGAATCATGCAAGTTTTAGAAAAAGGCGTACATAGTTCGACCAAGTAACTGAAAGTTTGCAAATAAAATACTTCAACTGTCGATTAGGAGAAACATAAACATTTGAAATAAACATGAACACAAGTATGAATATATGCATGAACAACTGCAGAATATCGCTGCATCTGTACAATCCTTATTTATGTTTTACGTTTGCAAATGACTGTAATCAATTTCAAAAAAGTGTATTGCTTCATAGAATGATAGGTTATGGTAGGGGAGCCCAATCATGCTTTTACGGTTCTTTAATAGTTCCAACTGTATAGGACTGAAACTTTGAAGCGCTCACTCTGTATTCAGTTATGGTTGAAAGGAGGATCGGATCGGATAGCATCACCAAGCTGATATTTATGCTATTAAACAGTCGATAAATCAAATGGACACGAACAAGGAACCGAAAATCAATCAGACTAACACCTTTGATTCCCACAGCTATTGCTTTTAGGAATTAGAGAATATGGAGAAAATAGCAGTGTAAGTATTAGGGATTTCACAACTCTGGACCCATTCGTTGCAGAAAGAAACAATGAAATGGAAGAAAGTCAATGTAAAGGCACAAAAAAAGGATGGAAGGGAGTTGATAGTTGAGACAACCCAGTGATCCAAGTTTTGTGGAACCCGCAATGGAAGATTGTTACTTGGGAAATTCTTTAACAGATACCCAAAATCTATCACTTACTGAAGTATATTTCTGAATAAAAAGAATTATATCTTGAATGGAAAGACGTTTGGTAGAAGAGATATCTGGAAAAGTTTAATTAGAACAGAAATAAGGGGAAAATTCCAAGATGGAGTTCGGCGAGGCAGATGCGCGCAGCGACGAGATGCTATTGAGTTAACAGAGGCAACTGATGTGAGAGAATCGTTGGATATTGGGCATAAATACAACGTTATCATCGAAGGCTTTCGGAACACACAAACCGACAGCTGACTTTTAAAATCCCAAATGCACCAACTCTACTGATAACTCGATAGACAGGCCTGACGATAATTTAAAAGAGAACATTCATCCATAAGGTATGTCGATTTTATCTCAGCGGATTTTTCACTGATTCTTTTCGTATTAAAGCCGATAACTGTGGGAAGGTAAAGCGAACACTAAGGAAGGTTTCAGCAAATTTTGTATTTAATAGCTTCATGGTACTCTCCTGAAAGAAAGACATGATAATTGGATATCACAAGTACAATATATGAAACCTTCGATATTTTTAAGAATGATTCAAACGAAGGAAACCAGCAGATGTATTTTCCTTAACAGTTGTTCGGTAATATATGAAATTCAACAGCAAATATCTAATCGGGTTCCCAACTCTATTTACTCCAGTTGCTTGGATTTTCAGAGTGACTAATTTCCACAAAAACTGCAATATTACAACGGTAAAGGAGGATTTAAAAAAATGGACTGCTTCTTGTTGGTTTCCTAATTATCTGTAATATTAATCTAAGTTTTTCAACTTATGAAAACTAATATATTTGTGAAAAGTTCACCTATCCAATCCCATCGATTATAACGTTGAAATTCATAAAACTTTCCTTTGTTTACGAATAACAACAAATAGCAAAAAAAGCACAGCCACATATGTTAGAGCAAAGGGGCACAATTGGCAAATAGCGGACACTAAAGGCTTAAGTATCCAGTCATCACTAACTCGAAGGAAATATTGACATGTCAAAGATTTGTTAGCTTACTACCAATTGGGAATTTGTTACACTAAGAGTACTGAAATGTATGATGGTCTTTCAAAAAGTTATATGAAATGAATAACAAGTGCACTTGAAACACACACACGCAAGCATACATGCACACGCACACGCACACACACGCGCATATACACAGGTACACATATACATGCACAGACACACACACACACGTACACACACACACACACACACACACACACACACACACACACACACACACACATACGCACACACATAGACACACACGACTATATGAACTGATGTAGGTGGTGGCAACGTTATCGTGTATCCGATTGCTTGCTTGCTGAACCACCACTGTTGGGGTTAAATTAATAGAAGTAGAGCTGTTAAGCTCTAGGCAAGTATCACAGAGGTGTATAACCTTAGACATTGAAATGAACGTTATTCTATAATATGAACATTCTATTTTACCCATTCCTTCCTCCATCTCAGTTTGTGTCCCCTCAGCCTGTGACCTCAGTCCGTAATCTCTCACTCTATGTCCCCTGTACTCGAATATTAGAGGTTCGGAAGAAACGATTCCTCAAAGAACAGTTTTTTTATGGATGGAAAATAAGAATCGTGCGCTAAAAAAATAATTGTCCAGAACATTTAATTGCATTTCTAAATGAGCAAAATTACGTCGTTTCCCTCTCTCCCGCAACATACTTTATATTCTTTCGCTATCAGTATTTATTTTAAAATTGATGCATTTTGCTACTTATTTTATATTGGTTTCAGATCGGAGAGACGTAACGATATGACAGCAAAATTCTCTCCTTTTGATCCATCAGAAATCATTTCTGCTTTACTTTTCATTGTCACTTTATAACTTCAAAGATTGATCACTACATCTCCACAATTTCAAAATACACTTTTGCTGAGCTATAACGTACCACTGATAACTTCTAACTTGGTACACTACTCTTATTTCGCTGTTCTTCGGTCCATCACAGCATATACTGCAGTATCCAACTTCATTTTTCTTTTTTTGAATCACGATATCTTTCTTTTTTTAGTTATTCTTACAATTACCACACACTATCATTCACAAAATCCTCATTCCTTGTTATACCAACCTTCCGTTATATCACCCTCACAGCCTATTTCCACATCAGCTATTAATTGTAAGTTTATTAAACATCTAGCCATAAACACAGATTACTGAAGAAATTTATCTGCAGGATGGATGATCATGATCTCAGGAAGTTGTAAAAGATAAAGTGTATGCTGAAAAGAATCGAAATTTTCTTAAATTTCCCCTAATCAAACATCGTTATTATTCCCAGATATTGAAAATAACTGTGAAACTTTCGTTAAACATTATTCAGTTTAATTCAAATTGGAAAATACAAATAATAAGTGATGGGCATAAATTGTGTGATCTTTTCCTCCATGATAATCTTTTTAATTCTGAAATACTTCCAGAATTACATCAACAAGAATAAAGATAAATTAGTAAACTTATCAAGAAAAAGGAAATAGACATTATTGGACAAAAAGAAAGGTTACATTTGAGCCGCACGGACAAAGCGCATGGAAAAGCCGTTGTTGCATAGCCAGTATGGACGATTAGCTGGAATTCCTAACAAGATGTTTCTTGTGCGCTACAGTTCAATTTTAGAGCTGTGATGGTCGTTTAACACCTTGTAGCTCTTTGCAAAGTACATCCTACCAGAGAGTTGGATGTTAAGGGTAAGAAGGAAAAATAGGACATTAGTAGTCTGTTACCTTCACTGAACAAACTTCTATGCAATTAGATGTCAGTTCCAGTTAATCACAGTTCAACTAAAATAAAAATGTTTGAATAGTTTAAGAAGTGCAAAAAAAAGTAAAAATATCTTCATAACAGGTTGAAAATGAATTCACCTAATATTAGCATGATAGGAAAATGACAAAGTTCAAAGATTTAACTAAATGAATGATGTTACATGGATTTTCACTCAAATAAAAACAATGGTTACCTGAAATAGTAAATTAGGAGAAGATGGCTATCGAAATTTCAAAAGCTGATTGTTTTTGTTCATCGAAAGTACTTCGGCATCCACGGAAACCTCACTATGAATAGCCGCAGATGTTGCTTCTCAACTGCGATTAGCATATGACATACACTGCATGCAACATCGGCATCTCTTATCGGAAATAAACCAGCTCTACTTTATTCTCTGCATCCCCAAACCCTTAAATTCCGGTTTTTCTTTGTTCAAGACTGAGGAACTACTTTATTCACTCTTAAACAAACAAATGCTCGCTTTTGGAGCAATAATCTTGACTTTCGGGAATTAACTTTTTGCACAATTCCCAAGGCAAGCACAATTCCCTCACTGTAACTCACTGTATCTTGCAAGCCGAATGCCTTTCATGGTTTCAACCATTAAATCTTGATAATGCTGTGCTTCTTATCATTGCGCGAATACTGTTCAGTCGTTGAGGTCTTGCTGACAAAATGTTATTTGGATTTTTTATTACTAGTGCAAAATGACTTATTTACTTAATTTCCCTTAGATTACACCTATAAATTTTTGATATTCAGAGGAAACAAACAGTGTATGCATAACAGTCGAAGGTTAAGCTTTTAAAGCTGAGGAAACTTCCGCTATTGATTAACGCATTAAGATTTAGATGATTGTAATTTGCTCCAGATTGAATTGCAAATAATAATACAAAAACTACACCTTCTTTTTTTCCCTTTCCCTATTTATATGTGGTTAACCAAGCAGGCTGACAGATGGTAGCCTTTGAATCTTTGTCCTAACGCTTTGTATAAATGACCAACGGCTATCAGCATCTCTTCGAATCACGCTGTACGCTGTCGCTGGAGGCATTCACTTCTAATACTGAATTCGTCTTCAAGCCGTAAATAAGAGTCGTATCTCCAAAGTGATAATCTTCGGATTCCAGCTTACATTGCTATTTATATTTATAAGTCTACTTTGACTGTTTTTAATTCCATTTGGGAAAATCTGACATCCTTAAGTGTCATTTTACATTCTAGGAAGTCAGAAAAGAGCTAACAAAACTCCAATGAAAAGAAATATGCGCAGTAATAAACTTCATTATTTGCTCTTTGAAATTAGTTGTATACATAAACATTTAAAGAATCAATTTTTAATGACTATAACAGGCAGTAGTTGCAATAATGTATGTGAGCAAAGGTATGAGCAACTGGCGTCAGTTCATGTACTGGAATGATAAACTTTCCTCACGAAAATAAAGATAGTAAGCTCGTTTATCGGTGGATTCGATGAGCATTTGCTCTAACAACAAGAAATTAATGTTGCTAACAACAAGAAATTAGTGTTATGAAGTAAGCTTCATAAAAATTCAAATTCTAAAGCAGTCTTTCATAACATTGAATATCCGAGCAGTAGCGATGGAAAATGTTTATGCAGATATAGCAAAAGGCTCGTACAAAGCAATTTTCAGGTTCTTTGCTAACAAATTTAATGGGATAAGAAAGTATATATTTTCTTCAGAGAAAAAATGTGAATGGCCTTTAATTCATAGCTGCAAATATCTTTGGCAGTTATGGATTACGGCGTCCATACCAAATAATTAATGAAAGCTGGAAAATATTTATAATAAAAATAATATGTTAGATGAAAATGATACAGTTCGAAATAGATTTTAGTGCGTTAGGATCTATATTCAAGATCTTTCTGCCTAGAGGGTAGGGAGAAGCAGAGAAGTGGTAATATAAAGTATATATTCAGAAAGATTATAATTACCAATAAAGTCACTTTGTTGAAGAGTCAGAATTAGAATTATCAAGAGAGTGAGAAATCAATTAAAAAATTTAATGAAGAAAATGGATTTCCTACAACTTAAATAAGTTATGCACAACAGATGACATACAACTAAGAACACGACGATACATGCAGCATTTTGATAATCGTATTCAGGTGACTGTCAAATGTCAACAGAGTAACAACATTTCATGTTGCTTAAGCAACTTCCTGTTGGCGCTGTTATTTTGTAGAAGTGTATAAAACAGATCTACATGCATGTATGTATATGTGTTTGCGTTTGTATAGAGAATGTATCTGCATTTTCTAGATGCAATAAACAGATATGCATGTAGACGGACATACGTAGATGGAGAGTAAAATAATTAAGGACAAATAGAACGACGAGTAGTGAGTGTTAGGATAGTGGCCTGTTGTTGAGAAACTCTTCCCTTGAAAAGCACAGTTACTTAATTCGATACACTAGGTGCATAGTGTTGATTAATTGCCATCTGAAGTGCTAATTCAACATATCACTGGCGACAGGATGAACTTATCCACCCATCTTGCTACCACGAAGTGAAGAACTTGACTGAAAACATCATTTAAAACTTATTGATTGCACAGTGAAAATGAATAGACAGATTGGCATTCTTTAAATTATAGTAAATGATAGTACAAATTAACATAACATTGTGAATATAAATAGACTTAGCAATGACTGGCCTGATGAATTATCACTTAAATTAACGTTGAGTAAAATCATCAGTTACATCCAAAATTTAGGAGAAAAGTTATTTGTAACAATCCCTTCTTTAAATGTCTAATTAGTAATTTCATTGTATTGATTTTAGCTATAATCTGATCTTTAATAAGCAAATCATAGATTTATTTACAGAAAATTTGCTACTTTTACTACTCTGCTGTGTTTAATATCAAAATAAGTTGAATAACAGAAGGTACAATCAGTTAGTATTATCTGTCCTGTTTTTTATAAGAAACTTGAAACCGATAAAATTGGTTTGTTTTGCTAATATTGATTCACTGTCCGAGCGGTTCTCTAGCTTAACTGAATTTGTTGAGGGAACATCAATATTGTATTTTTTTTTCTAACAAGAACGTTATTATCGCATGATATTGATACTCTTCTTGAACTGTTCAGTAGATGATATCAGGACACCACGGCATCCATTAGGAATGAAAAAACAGCTTCCTTGCGAGTTCAAGTAATTTTTTGCTAATTTGTGTTAAAGAAGTTCCTGAACGCCTGAACGACAATGAGTATCTGTATTTTGTTGAGAATATATCAGTGTTCTGGAACAGCTAGTAAGCAAGATATGACTGGAATGAAAATATTCTTTTTGCTCTGGTCTATCTTGGTCGCAGGTTGAATAGATTGTAAGACATGGATTTATTTATTACTTCCGAATATGAAATTCAAAAAACATCTGTTGCAATCCGTAAAAGTTTTGTCATTACAAGACAAGTGAAGTGCGTGGTTTAGTGTGAAAACAAGATGTTTTTTACATTTAATAGTGGCAAATAAAAAACATGATGATTATTATCAAATAATCGAAACAATACTATCAAAACTGAACACATAACTTACCAGAGTTATAAAGTATAGATCACCGTTGCCTTTATTTAGTTCAATTATAACCTTCACACAATTCTTCAAGGATCGGCTTTTTCAAAATAACATTGATTTGAAAAATATCATGAACCAAGGGTCCATGTAACCATAGCTTTTGTAGCTTGTTCCACTTTATAAAATGAATACAGAAGAGAAATTTAGGTTGAAGAAACATTTCATCGAGGGCAGGACATATCTTTTGTCTCCAGTAAAATTTCACCGAAGAACTGTTGCAATTAAGTGGTTCGGAATTGAACAATCAAATATGAATTTATCGTAAGAATTGCATGATAGTCAAGGATTGTAGACTTTGCTTGCAAAAGCTTTCGCTCACACCCAAAGACGTTAAAACCCCGTTATATAGTATAAACAATCTTGAAAAAATATGAAATATTATCGTTGTCAGTAAATTTATAATTTTGGTACATTTATAGCTAATTTTATCGCTGTCTTTTTTTTTACCATCGCTTATACCAAGTGGACTTCCCGAAAATATATCAGTACAAATTTGCTTATTGCAGAATAAGGCTAATATCATCTGTTTGTTACTTAATCACTGTAAAGCGGCAAATGTAAAAGAATGAAATCAAAAGTGAAAAGGCTGGCCAACACATATAAGATTACGAATGATGTAACTGGAGCGATAAATAGAATCATCAGCAAAACAGTAAGAAGTACGAAGCGTTAATCCAGGTGCTTTCCCTTTTTAAGTCACCCCAATAAAGCGATCACGGTTCATTGGCTTTTCTGCATATCTGATTTGACATGTTAAAACAAATGTGCTTTTCTGTCTCCCAACACAAACCATGTTGTGCTGAGCAAATGATTACTCAATTGAATAACCGCTACATAACAGATCCCCAAGATTTATGTCCAAAGCTCTCACGGATCAAACCGTCCCTCCCTTTTTTGATATCACAGTTTTACAGATTAATTAAATTCGCCTTCCAAAATTTAAAACTTGTTCAACAAAATTAATAAAAGCAGTATGCAAAGATATAAAAAAAACTGTTTATTCTTTTCGTAAGGGTATAAAATTAATGAAAGGAAATCTGGAAAAGATTTCCCCTAAAATTTCATGTCAAAAATCTTTCATATCAAAATTATCAAAATTCATAATAAAAATTCATAAATTATCAAAATCCATATCAAAAATCCTAACCAGCTTCAAAACCATTTTGTCTAACCATAATTCTTTAATCAGAATTATGCATTAGGATTTTCGCGGATGAATTTTAAAAATAACCAAACGGAAAAAGAATTTCAATCAGTTTTATCAACATCTGATGGACTGCTTCTATGAGTATATCAGTGATCGACTATTAAGATATGTTGAGAAATTTAATATTATATCAACTTTGTTGGTGGAGCAGTGCTGCAGATGAATACAGATACCAGCAAACACGTTCTATAAACAAACTATTGTTCAAGGAGAAATTCCTTCAGTGATCAAAGCGATCCTCAATCGAAGTACTCCAAAATTTTAGTTGGTAGCTTTAGAGTTGTTGTAACTTCGAAATAAAGTTTTTGCTACAACTTTTGTTGCAACATTAATTAGACAATATGTCTGTTATTCTCTTATTTCTATTTTTGACCATAACATTTACAGAAAGGTTCTAATTCAAATCCCGTCTTTTAATGGCCAATAAACTTGCTGATCAAGTCATAATGAGAAAATAATTCAGTTGTAATCAAATCTTTCGATGTAAGCAAGAAAGTTGACCATCAATAAGTCTCCAGATTCATTTTAACCAGTTCATGAAATATATTAGAAAATTTTTTAAATGGTCATTTTTCGTGCGATTTTCCGGGTCAATCTCGATGAGTATCTCAGAACGAAACCAGTATTCAACAATTAACACATCTACCGGCATCAACGAGTGGGGTAACTGGTACCCACAACCACTATATAAGGAGCTTCTGGGACGCCACCACTTGATGACTGTCGTAATATTCAACTTCCTTTGAAGAACTTAATCGATCTGGCGGAATAACACTTTAATCTGTCTCACCACTGTTACCAACGCATAAATAAAAACATCAGTTTGTTCATCATTTTACATCTTTTTAATAAATTTTATTACAACATGCGTCGTGGCCTTTTACTAAGTTTCACTCCAAAAGTGTACCAATTGCAGCAAACGATCTGAACAGTCCGCATGCTCCTCAAGATATCAACAACCTGGTATTTTATTTTGGTAGTGACATATGCAACGGTCAATGGACAAAGTGAAAAAAAAAACATGGAAAGTTTCAAATGGCCGCGATGGGGTTTGTTTCCTGAAAAATTTTTGTTTAAAGCACAAAAACATTCGTTTATACAGTTGATATCAGTAGGAAAATAGGACTAAGCAGTACATTTCTTCTTTGTTCCACTGAGCAGCACATTTCTCCTTGCAGACGAAGTTTTAATCTTACTCGAAAAAATGTAAAAGTTCGCTAAACTCTTCCATATTTGCCTTCAGGAAATGTGGGATAAAGGACTGCACCTGTCACTCACCGCATCCAACAAATTCTACTTCATACTTATCAGTTATCTTCCTCAAATCATTAATGAACTTCTAGTAAGCATATTTCTATTACAGAAGAACGAACGATCGATTGCACAACGACACAAGAAAAGGAACCAGATCAATGCACATTGATCGCACGAAATGCCAAAATACCTCGAGATCCTACTAAATACAAGTGTCGCCGTGAACAAATGCCAGTCAATGGCAGGAATATACTAGCACCAAATTCTACAACAAGACTAGCATGTCCTATTGGTTGTGAACCAGACGCCAAGCTTTCTGTTACTCTTAAATTCTTTACTCATTTGTTGTTTTGATCTAATCTTCCCCTATTGGATTAATTATTAGTTAATTACTTCAGCCCATTTCTCAACCTGTTATCAACGCCACTCATTGAGTACTACGAGATAACTCTTTGAAAAAATCACAAAAATTGTTCCCAGCAACCCCAGTCGTTATCTAGAAGTTACATGAAACTTATTTCTTTTAAATGACTCACGATGTGACAAATGCCACACAAAAGAGTGCCGAGCAAGCAAGTTGGGAAATTTTTAATAATCCAAAGATCTGGTGTAAAACAGACTAATCAATAAATGAATTTTTTATGGATTCCTTATATTTTACAGGTTTTGGTCAAATCACCCCAAAACAATCATCTATGTCAAAAATACTACACATATGGAAAATATCGCGATCAGAAAGAAGGTGAATGGTACCTCTGGTTAACTGAACCATGTCGAGCAAATTTAACAACATGGTGTCGTTTTAAGGATATCCCACTTTTCATCCCAAAACTTCGAAATCAATGATGAAACTGTCCATTTAGGTCCTATCGTTTGCATTTTGAACTAGTTTCCCAGAGTTCTAGTGATGATTAACTATTGCCAATAAGATGGAGATCATCAGTTCTCTTGATGAGGCAAACTAATGCTGTTTTCTTTACATGCTAGATCTTAATTCAATCTAATATGACAAAAAAGCATTGAAAACATTCGGCATATCCTTATAAGCCAGAACTAAAGCAATAGGAGGAGACACAATGGGAAAGCTTTTTTATTTGAGTATCAAAATTCTAGTTTATAATTCTACTGTCAGCGTTACCAATTTAAGAGATAAGGTAAAGGCAGTATTGAGAAGGAGCACGTTCCCTTTTCTAGCCTCTTTCGCCATGATTGCAGTAGCATTGGCAAGATTTGTAAACAGTCGATATTCGATATTTATTAGTTTACTTCTGGATACATAAAAGCTTGATAGCGATAACAACAGGGAATGAATCAACTGTAGAAGTAAGAAAGCTTACTACCTTACACTAGCTGTGAGATTTCCAGTTCCCAGTCGAAAACATGGAAAGGAACGCAATATTGCAGAAAAATTCCATGGGCATATATATCTGGTAAACCTTGCAGGATACTGCAGTGAAATGCAATGGAGATTTTGTTTTAATGATTTATACCTGGGTTAGTGTCGAATAGTGCAACCCTAAAAACCTGGAATTTCCCACAAAAAAATCAATTAAACCTGCAAAGCGGTACAATTTACCACAGCAACAAAAGTGATGCAATTACTGATAAGGAGGAAGAAATTGATTTGCAAGAAAAAAGTTATTGTAGTCGATTTGAACTGAATGTTGATTGAAGCCAATTTAGAAATATTTTTGGCATTTGAAGGAAACATTGTTAGCAAATGAAGCGTTAATTTATATTCCGATTCTATTCAAAACTACTTTTGGGAGTCCCAATCAACGCAAGTGGTTGGATATAATCTGTTGACAATTTTATACCAAATGCGACAACACGTCATACACACACAACATTTTTGAATCCATTATCAAGTGCTCCTCCAATGAACTGATTAATATTTTGCTGCCACTTTTATTTTCATTTCCCATCAGATGGAAAAAAAAAAAAACATTACGAATTTCCTCTTTTGCATGCAAAAAAAAGAAAAAAAAATAGAGATTTAAAAGAGATGCTTATGCACTGTCATGTTGCTGACTTTTGTTCTAAATTACAATCTTCCATTGTCGCATTTTTCACTATTTCACCTCTCTTCCATTTCGTTCGTCGATTTTGAAACCAGATCTTCACCTGGATAGATATTGATCAGCTGTTACTAAACCTTCTTTATTCGTTTCTGCCAAAAAAATTATTTAAGAGCTCAAAATAATTTCAAAAAATTCCAAAATATCTGTCATGGTGATAATAACGAATTGAAACTGTCAACAGCAAGCAAATTTCCCACGCCAGTGGCTTGTCATATGAAAACGATAATTTAATCACTGATTCAATTTTCTGAACTAATAGACAAAAAATAGTTACTATTGTAAACGAAATGAAGAATGCAAAAATTATTACTAAACAGATGGAAAGGGAACGGACAGTAAGATGAAATATCTTTTGCATAGCCAGTTAATTCTCAAATGTAACTGGAACTCTAAGAACAATTGGGAATGCGGCATAGATGAAAGATTTTAGTAATATTCTATATCCTATTTCTTGGACATATCCTTCCTCGCTAGGCTATCTTCTAAGTGACAAACTATCACAGTGGTGTTGATAGTCCTGTCGAAAAAAGGATAATAAAGTCTTTGACTTAAAAGTAACTATTTCCGTTCTTCTATTCTTCCACTACGGTTTGAAGTAACAGAAAGACAAAAGCTTCAATAAATTAGAAAAGCAATTTTTTCTTGCCAACAACAAAAGAGTAATACCTGCGTTTCGGTTACACAAAGTAATTTGGCGAGTTCACCCCGTTCACTGGATGATAAGTACTTCTTCTTCTCAAATTGTTTCTCAAGTTCAAAAATTTGTCGGCCAGTGAATGTTGTCCGTGCTTTCTTTTTTTTCTGTGGTTTTTTGACGACACTTTGAGTTCTGGCTGATTCCAAACTCTTACCGATGCATTTGCATATTTCTAGAAAGTGCAGTTTTGGCAACAAAAGATTGAAAACATAAATATCGATTAATTACGGTTTGAAACAATAAATGAGGAGCTCATATAAGAGTTAAAACAGTAACTCAAAGTATGTGATATCGTCGAAAAGTTCAGTTGAGGATAAAAGTCAATATGAACTGATCCGCATGAAGTTTGCGGCGAATGCTTTAAAAAGTATGAAGACGAAATGGCATGCCTTCAGATTGCACTTGTGTTACTGATGAACTGTTGGACAAGATATCCCGAATGGTATAAGAACTTGTGGATTTTCGAGCCGGTGCTGGAATCAGAATAGGTGGCCATAGGGAAGCTTGCTGTAGCAAAGAAAGCAGGTAAGGAGGTAAGAGCGGTAAAGTGGGTGATGGTGACGATAAGAAAGATGACATGGATGAAGTGGGCTGAACCTGAGCCCAATCCTGGCAAGATACAAACTGACCAATGATTATTATAACTGGGTCTGATATAATTGAGCTCTGCGATGCGGGCGCTATACTCAATCAGGCATCTTGGCCAGAACCATAGATCCCTTTAATTACTTGCCATTCATGGAAGCACCACTCAAACCACAATTCAGGATATATTTTACAGTTGATTCTCCAGTAATGTGGAACCACTTCTTACTGATTTCTTCATTTCAGCAACACTTTTTCTCAGTGGAGACAATATCAATACTTGCAATCAAGCTTAACGTATCAAGAAAAGCTCATATTCAGCATAGCACTCACTCAATTAATCAAAAAAGAAAAAAAACCCAGCAGTTCACTTCTAAGACTTCATACAAAACACCAGTTATTAGTATGAATTTAAAAGAAAAAACCCACTACGCACAAGTCACAGTTGAAATTTCTGATCAGAAAATGTCGAAGCGATTGGACCAATTTGTTGTATACTTCCGGTATAAAAATGTACATTTTCCGTACTCCAGACTCATCCTCTGCTTCCAACCGCTACACCGAAAACAGAGATATTTTAGGATTGAGTGCTAACACAGACAGACAGACAGACCATATCTGAGATCTAGGCGATACAATGAATTAATGGTATAATGAACATCACCTTTGCTTTATCTAAAAACCCTCATCCCCTATTAATAGGCATACAAACTTTTCATTTTGTCTCCCGCAATGCCAACACTATTGGAAAATGACAAGAGGAAGGAAATGAAAAAGATTTCATAATGCATCGTTACTCTTATTACTTCATCCTTTCTGTGTTTTTACTCAAGTTGTAGAAAAGTTTGCCTACAAATTCACCTCAGTAGTGGGGGAATCCTGATATCGAAAAGCTTCAGCAGAATTATAACCCAGAAGTTACAATTTCATATGTAGCAAAAGATAAATTAAGGAGTTTATAAATCGGTAAACGGCGACAAGTAAAACAGTCTCTTCACAAGTAAGAGAGCAATAAAGTTGAATATCAGCAGAAATAATTATATAAAAGATTTGGTATTAAGAATGAGTCATAAGGCAATATGGCAACACACCATATGGAATACATAAGTGCTACTTTCGAAATCTTTTGATATGAACTTGACAATTTAATCTTAAAGAAACAAACAAGATCAAAAGAAATTTTGCGAATTTGGCTATAATCATTGCATCCTCTTTTCTCCTAAAACAGTTCAACAATAAAACATACAAAATACCCACCGAGGCGATTACAATAATCCATGCTTCAACACCTCCATTAATACAAGTCATCTACATAGCTAAGAGATAAATATGGACACAGGGCTGCAAATCTTTTGGGAAATTATAAGTTTCAGCAATAGTAAAAGAGTAGAATTAATTTTGCTGACACGGTAGAAACTGAAAAGATAAACGAAATCAAATGACTAGCAGCAGATGTATGAACAGCAGTGCTTATACAATGAATCACAAAACACGCTCAATTTGCTCAAAAATTTATGCATCACCGTTTTGGCTGCCTTCCAATCCATTTCAAAAGAATTACAAATGAATAAAGCAGATGGTGAAGAACACGTATCACATATTAGAAACTAGTTTGTATTTCTCCTTCAAACTCATTTGAGTGTCACGTCGAGGATCCTTCTTACGGCTTACCAGTCGACTGCGTGCTTCACCTGCACTCAACTTGAATATATCAGGTATTCCTGAAATTAAAAAGTTCTCAACATCAAAAATGTTGTACTGGAGTCTGAACCTTTGCGTGGAAGTTCAAATAGCCTTCCACAATACACAATTTACATCAAACACCTGAAGATCAAAATCAATCCCCCAACATTTATGTGCTTTTTTAAGTAGAGAAAATTGACAGCCTGCAGCCAGCAACAGGGATGTCAATATCAACTTTTACGCAACATTAAAGACCACAGTGTCGATGTTGCCAAACAGTCAGAGTCGCGTTAAGAACTCTTTTCCAGAAAACGCAAACATAATTGACTATATGAAAATTTCATTAACATCTAACAGTGCTAACTAGATGATAAACCACAAGGATGCATAGTCAGATCACTGGACTTATCATAGGTTTTACAACACACAATGACCCACAAGGTTATCGGAACAGATGTTACATATTTCCAGAATTATAAGACCTTCACAAACCATTTTTATCCATTTTGTCGTTTCTCTCGAACTTCTCCGCCTCCTCCTGATGAAGCAAATCTGCTTCCTGTTTTAGCGGAGCTACTGAGGCAGTGACTTTCATCTTTGGATTTTGGTGAAACATTTTTCTGAAGTGAATAAAACACTTGTTAGCTACTTCATTTTTGCAAATTTTCAAATTGAGGAATTCCCCAAATTTATCTAACCATTATGTCTTAGCAAATAAATTTATCTGGAATTTTGAAAAATTATGAAGTAATGGTTATTCTAATATCAATATTATTTCCTTTCCCAAAATCAAAAGAAAATGTCTAAAAAAGAAAAT